GGGATATCTACCGTATATAGTGAATTCGAGCATAATTTGAAATTAAGGATCTACCCTCAAAACTTTTGCAATATTGGCCATCATAATCGAGTCAGTGCTAACAGCAACAGAATCGCCCTGTTTGACATTCAAAATAAAAATAAGACTTTAAGCTTCGCTTACGTCACACACGTGGCGCGTGGACAAGTACCCCTGCTAAAGTACAATGTGGCGAAGGCGACCCAATCTCACAATAAGGAGTAGTTCATTTATCAGAGTAAAATTAGCAAAAAACAGATTGCAGGTAATTTTCCTTTGGTAATTACTACCTGTTCGATTCATGTGCACCCAAGATCCAGATAGAATCCTAATCTACCACCCGATACATACCGTTGTTTGGAGAGAGCTCTTCAATTGACAAGTGACTAGACTCCACAAACCAGGGCATGATTAAAATCATGACGAATAATATTTCTCGTACGGCTGGTACCATTCTCTCAAGAATATTTTCGTCAACTTTTAAGCGAGAAACGCTCAATTGCATGAAGATGACGATATGGCTTTAAAGGATCCGATGATACAAGGGACAACTAAGAAACTCATGGCACGAAGATATACACCCTCCTAACGTACTGCGTAAAGTAATGCAATGAAGAAGGGGGATTACTGGATTCTCGTGTAACGGAGCCAACTTAATGCAATGAGAATCTACATGTAAGAAACTTGATTAGCTTATTTTAGAGAGATCAAGTGTATTCTTGCAAGGGAAAGCAATGCATCTAAAGTGAGTAAACTTCCATGAATGACTTAAAAAGCGAGGTAATAAGATAAACTGACTAAAAGCACCTGCTGGTCAGTGAAAACCTTCCTTACAGGGGATGTCAGTGTTTTCGAGCGAGAGGTCATGCAATTGTTACATGATAGCATCGGGAGTGACGAAACGCTCCGTGACTGTGTGGCATCAGGCACGGCAAACTCCGCACCGGCGCAGCTCATTGCAGGAGATAGAGTCCTTCACTTTTCTATTTTGAGAATGATTGTTGCGATTGAAGAGCTGTCGCTACACAATTATACTTATGTTTGATACCAAGTTGGATAAACTGATCAAATAAATGCACCAATAATAGTAATCTAAGCAACAAAACTGTCGTCGGACTTTAAGAGGGGAAGAGGAAATAAGTAAGACGGAAACTGAGGGGAACCTAACCTGTAATAAATCGCAGCCGCGTAGAAGATCGACAACGACAGGGAAGGCGGAGAACGCATGACCGTAAGCGTTGGAAGCAATGTTGGCGTGGTCGTCGAGTCACGAGGAGGGACCCACCACGGCACTGTCCTTTCTGCCGGACCAAAAATCGAAGGGTGATGTAGGAGCACGAAAGTCACGAAGCTCCCAGTTTACCTGAAACAACGAAAATGGAGAAAACCGACTCAAATTCCTCATCATACACGAGTCGTGAAGAGCAGTAAGGAGTTCAGTACCTTTAACATCCTCATTAGTTTCCTCCTCTGTCAATGCTGCTAACAGTCTGCGAAAAATTCTAAGGACTCTAGTCAGTATGTTGTCCCATAACACGTATGCTACTCAGAACAATTTCAAAGAGCCAATATTCACCCCGGCGAATAATTATCCCTTTTGCGAGTTGTAAGGAGAACTGCATAGTGACGAGTGAACTGGCTATGATGACAGCTGGAGAGTTGCATCCCTCATTCTCACATTCGAGTTATATTAACTGCAGAATTTTCCATTTAGCTATGCACGGCAATAAGCGGACATAGACGAACTGCAGGGAGCAAGCAGCAAAAACAACAGAGCATACGGGAACAAAATGGGTCTAAAAAATAAAGCATTGAACGACAATGCTGTCATTTTGAAATCACTATGAAGTGGCTAGAATGTCTATGGATACTTGTCTAGGGGTAGAAAGGGAATACAAACCGAGTCTTAAACGCTTACGAGTGCAGTCTCGGCGACTAACCGCATAACACTCTTAGAAGAGGAAACTCTAACTAAAGATCCAATCAGGATAGAGGTTATCGGGCTCGTTCCACCGCCTCTTTTATTCTCCGCAAATTACCTTCCCGTCTCTACAGATAAATAAATTGTCACCAATATGCCCCACGTGTTACCTAAACAAATGACGAATGAGGCGATGCCATATCAAGCATTCGTATGTATTTATTCACATATACCAATAAGGAGGTCGATTACGCATCCCCTACCACTCATAACCATATCTAGGCATCAAATATTATTTGCTATAACATACCAGTAATCACGCGGCATAGTCAGACGTTCGGCATTCTCCCCTTTCCGAAGGTTCTACGAAGGTTAGGCTATTCTGTTCTCCGGCAAGTCCAAGTAACGAAGACCGCAGGTTAGAACAGACGGACATATTCGTCAAATGCGGAACACGTGTTTTAGCCCGTGGAAGCACCATATTCCTTATATGAAGACTATCAAGGTGAAATAAAAATGGCAAAAAATCAATCGATACTTGTCAATCGCCTGCATTCTTCACATAACGAGTTTGATAAAAAGAACTTTGCTCCACACCACAAGTTCAGAAAATACTTATTGAAACGAAACTTCACCGAATGTGCGATGGCACTTGGACATGACTTAATAGTGTAGTCAAACAACCAAAAAAACAAGAAAATAATCATTTATTTGTAAAGGAAATTCATTTGTCTTATTATTGCAACAGTTGCACAAGTTACAGATGTTATATTTGAGTGTTTGCGTAATTTTTGATGTATTGTACATTGATAAATGTAATTCTTTTGCGTGTTGTTTTGTTTGCTAATTTTGCTTACTTAGGCGCAATGTTCTTAAGCATTTTGGCTTATGCCTATTTGCGGTGTAAATAACCTCATATCTATCTCCCTCTCTTAATACCCCTTCACTTACTTGTTTACATGCTTTTTATCTATCTGCCTATCATTTTTGAGTGGAAGAATATTTAAATCAAAAAAATCTACCAGTTTGATCCTTTTACTACAAGCTAGAATCATGAATCTGTGGTTCAGTGGATCTGGCAGAACCAGCAGAGTGGACCCATTTACCCGCAAATTGTGTGTGCCTAGGCCTGCCTGTCTTTACATGTTTTTGCTCCCATCTAACCAGATTGACTATATGATGCTGTCGAATACAAAAGGTGGTGGAGTACTCGCTGATCATGCTATTGTAGCGTCCCGAAACTCCCTGAAGACGAAATAAGACACAACACTTGGGTAGAATACATAATCAGGGCAGAGAAGGTGCCTGGGCTATTGGAATGGCCCGAAAGGCCAGCCCACCCAAAGAGGTACAAGAGGGCCATTTCAAAGTACAATAGTGGCGCCTCACTAATACCGAGGGATAAACCACCATCGTATTACACTTTTGTCACGACCACGTCCGATTAAATATGAGCGGTTGGGGCCGTGATCACAATTCTCTACCTTCTTTTGCAAAATGTGTATGATTGCGTAGCTTTTTGAGAAGGAAAATAAGACAGAATGGCGTAAAGACGACTGCCTACTGAATACTTTTAAATTTGAGGTGTTAAATGAATCTGATTTTTGAGTGCTTTTAAAATGCGCATTCAAAAAAATAAGGTGAAATATTACTTCGTTACTCAAGGCACGTTCAAATTTTGTTTTATGGTTTTGCCAATTCTCTTCACCACAAAATACTTCAACTACTGTTAATTTGCCGCATACATTATTTTACCAAAATTAAGGGCAACACTTCTCCTTTTATCGTGCAAAAAAGTCTTTTGTTGCGTTAAAAGGCATTCTTAAGCAGCGAAGCCATCCTGTCTAACGATTAAATGTTTCATTTAAACAGAACAGCAGAAATTCCAGGGTGTGTCAAGAGACTTGAACGAGAGGTGTTCACTAATGTCAGCTAATAAACGATCTCGATTTTACGGCATTATATTTGGCAAAAGATGCAAATAACAGGCTTCTTGCAGCGTATGGCGAATCCCAGTGTTACACAAATCTATGGGCGGATGTGGTTTAAGCAGTGATTACTTCTCGAATGTCATGGTACAATTCGGAATCAGCATAAATGGGTGCTTTGATAAATTTGTGTAGCTATTGACACTAAGTAGGTACAATCAAACTTGGAGGTAAACATCTATTCGTAATGAATGTCACCGTGAGAATTCTTGTTAATACCACTACCGCTGAGGTAGCATGCAAATCGGTCATGAGATCTATTAAAGTAGGTTCAACAGGAGGTTGTACCTACAGATTCAGAGGTGCAGCTTCAGAATGACATCCTACAGTGAGATGCACTGTTGTTATCTTGATTCCGAATTTTAACTGTTTTGCAATCATTCAAAAATGGTGTTTGACTGACTGCTGTTTGACCTCTACGGATGCTTTGGTGAGGCGCTTTCCCTTCTGTTAATCGTTAGACTTAAAATCAGCGGATTTCGTCTGATCTGGTCGGTGTAGCGGGCAATTAAATGGCTTGCTACCTGCCTTTGAAGCACGGTCTGTCAAATTCCACTGATAAAAAGTGACATTCCTTTGAGGAGCATGCACAGTGGGGAGAATGAGAAAATGTCATTTCTCCATTGCCGATTGCAGATATTGTGTCCCTGCGTGGTCTTCGTGGTTTGTTAACACATGCTGTGGAGGTTGCTTAGCTAGCCGAATTAAACACTTTATCGACGAACTTGCCTAGCACCTCTCCTTCCTTGCACACTTACCATAGATACAAGAAGTTTTTTTAAAAGGCAAACCTTACATTCTTTCTTCTACAGGCATGCAAAAGTATGAAAAACAACGAAATTTGATACATATTCTTGCAAAATGTTGCACCTTTCTTTCCTTTTGGTAATTATTTTTGAATTACTGTTGCCACTACTTTTATTACAATGCAGAATTGTGTTAGTCGTCTAAATCTCAACTTATACTTTGTCCTCATGTATTTAGTGTATCAATGGAACCATAAAAACTGATAGATAATAGTGATTTATAATTAGAAGTCTTTTTTTGCTGCCCATTTGCACCTGTCTACTCTCGTTTCCCTAGGTTCGCTCTAGCGTTTGATTTTCCATGTATCGGAACAGATGACCGGGTTCTAATTCGATGCGATATCGCTCAAAATATTCCTA